TGTGCCAGGTGGGATCAGGTGCCTTTGCACTGTTGAATCAAGTCTTCTGTAGTTAGAACAGCACTGGCATTGCACAGACCTGTGACAGACATTGGCACTTAGATTGCCTTCACTCCCAGAGGATGCAGGTGGGAAGGGTGACAGATGACAAGGGTGCAAAACAGGAAAGTTCCACTGCTGGAACTACTGGCAAAACAAAGAGTTTTCTTGTAATCATCATTGTTGGCTAAATCCTCCCTTATTTGTCTTCTGACTTTCTTATCTCCTCAGATCCCTCTTATCCTATTATTGTGATTTCCCATTGCTTTTTCCTTGATAATCTGATGGCTCTGTGGCATTACATGTTCTAGCTTACTGTTTTCATACTTAGCCATCTTGGCTGACATAATGATATGTCAACTAAAAGGAAAAATTAAAATTAAGCCCATTGGATTATGAAGAACACTATTTTTTCTATAGGTACAGCTATATAAAACATAGATAGTGATTTCTGTTTTCATATTGATCTGCTTAGCACTCCATTTATTTTTTGAATAAGTGCTGTATTACACTACACTCTACTTTTTTTACTTTAGACTTTTAAACATTTTTCTTTTACACAGACACCTCCTCAAGGTAAGTCATTAAATTCTACCAGAACAGATGTCCAGTTGTCCAAAGTAGTACTGCTAACTTTATCAATTGCAAAATTTCAAACCTCTCCTTGCTTTATTATGATTATTACTCTGTTTTGGAACCAGGTCTCAGAATTAGTTGCCATTAGTTTTGGCAGAGCCTTCATTTAGGCCTTAGAAATCAAGTAAGTAACTTGTGCTGGGAGCTATAGGAGGTGGACTTGCAATTTGAATCACAGGATCATAGAGCACCACGTTGGAAAGCACCTCAAGGACCATCTGATCCAAACTTTCTTGGCAAAAGCACAACCTAGACACGATGGTTCAGCACTCTTAAAAGTGTCCAATGTTGGGAAATCCACCACTTCCCTGGGGAAATTATTTCAATGATGTGTAGTCCACGTGTCCACTTTTTTTTTCCCTCTATATGTGGAGTTTTTTTCCTGAATTTATCTCTGAATTTCCTAGGATCCAGGAAAAGTGAAAAACTCCTTTCTCTAAGATTTCACTACAAGCCATATTCCGGAGTAACAAGAAAATAAACAATAAATTCAGGGCTGTATTTAAAAACATTTAAAATATTTTGTACAAATAACATGCTGGTGTTATACCTCCCATTTAGATAACTGTGGAGGTATCCAGGAGACACTAAATAATACTGAAAACTAAAGTACAGAGTATGACAGGTAATACATAAAGATGAGTTTTCTGGAATACAGAGACATCAGACACAGGAGGTTTTCAGTGTACAAAGCTGCCATATCCTGTCACATTCTGTACAGTATCATTCAGTCTTCTTTACTGCCAGTCAGCACAAACAAGCCAGCTCTGAGACACAGCATGTGTACAAGTAAACATAAAAATGAATGGGCTTGTTTTGCAAGCATGATGGAACACAGATTATGGCTGTAAGATGAAACTGGTGATATAATTTTAATGTATTGTGTGAAAAACACAGGGAAAGCAGGAAAGTGATACATAATATTTTCTGATCTCGGTGCTTGTAGAGTTAAGTCTGTAAATCAGTGAACACTGAGATGCATAGAAATATGGCTCTCTGTTATTCAAAGCGTTACCAATTCACACTTGGATGCTTTGGTTTGTAACAGTAAAGCCAAGAGATGTCATGTCAATAGATCTGTACTGCCCTGGAGTGGATAAAATTCAGCTCAGTGGTAGAACAAATAATAACACTGAATTATATAATTACTAAAGATTTACTCCTGCCTCACTAAGGGGCAGTGTCTTAGTGAAAAGGAGTCAATACAAGGCTAGATGCTACGCAACATAAAGCTGCATACCACCCTCTCTTCACATGCTGTATTTTAAGGCATATACACAGACATTTCTGTTGAAAAGCATTCTCTGAATGTGGTGAGAAGCCTGTTGCCCGGTCTCCAAATGAAGTGGGACTTGAGGGAAGAAATGTAAAAAGGCCAAGTCTTATATTTTGCAATACAAATTAACACACTGAATTTGTAGAGTAGAATAAACTAGACCAGACTGTTATGTGGTCCAAATGCCGGAGTACCTCAGGGCAGACCAAAAGTTAAAGGCTGTCGTTAGGGCCATTGTCCAAACACCTCTAAAACACTGATGGGTTGCCTGGGGCATTGATGCCCTCTCCAGGGAGCCTGCTCAGTCTTTGACCGCCGTCTCCTAAAGAAGTGCTTCCTACTGTCAAGTCTGTATAGCGGTAAACAGGATATCTTGAATTAAGAATATGGACTATAAGTTTGGTCGTTTGTGACATTTCTAGAACAAAACATTGATCAGAGGAATTTTTAAAAGCAGAAATTATTTTTATTCCCAGCAGTTAAACAAATCCAGTGCAAGGTCGTAAAACCCTCTCTTGACCCATTCACATTTTTCAGCAAAACAAAGTTCTGTTCAAAAAGCTACTCTAAATCTGCTACAGTCCTGCTGGTTTTCTTCCAGCAATGTTGGATACTGCCTGTGAGGAAGCCAGTAAAATGTTTAGTTCAGGCCATTAAATAAGTTTGTTTTTTTTTCCATGTAGAGGAATTAGAAATATTTTATAATTTTTTTAAACTTTTGTAAGTCACTTATTCTTGCTGACAAAGTAGAATGAAATACGATGCCATTCAAAAGCAAAGGAGTTACAGAGTCTCTTCGAAAATTCCTGTCAATGGTCACATCCATTGATCAGTTGGTGCAGGGGCAGCAGCTCCAACATCAAGGCTCTATGTCCATCACAAAGGACATGTCCCAGGCTGGATCAAGTGGCAGTGCAACTTGATCCAGATGAAGTGTGAAATCACAGCACATGCCGGGCAAATTATCCACAGCCAGTGGCAGGGTGTTTATGAAGGCTCTGTTTTGGCTGGATGCCTGTGGGCTTGCTAAGGACAGGCAGTACTCGCCTGATAGACACTGCTGCTACTCAGTTCCTTCCAACAGATTTTTAAACTCAGTTGGAGCTGCTACAGTGAGCTTGTGCGGATTCATGGGTGTGGTGTTTTTGCAATAGGCTCATTAAGTCAGATTTGCTTTCTGGTGGCGACACAGCCTAAGGCAGGGGTACAAAATCAAGCTCAGCTGCAGTCACTGGGTGTGTTGGGATACTGTCACTTGTTCAAAATAGGCTCCAGTATTGAGGTAACAATTTATAAAGACATTGCTAAAGAGGTAGATCTAGGTACTTCATTGAAAGAGTGGGGAAAGGGGGCATTAAATAAGATGGTGATGTTAGTCCATGCTAACATCTGTTTTTCTATTATAAAAGGTTCTTATATTTTATGTTTTTCTAATAATCCTTTTTGAGTTAAGAGACAAACTTTCTCATTTCATCTATTTGATCCATTTAGAGTTTTAGTTTATTAATTTATTTAGCATCCAATAGGGCACAATGTAGTTTCAGTTTTGTGATGTGAAGAACAATTAAAATGAGAGAACAGTGCTAAATTAAGCCATTTGTGTCTAATTGTGTAACCTTTACAATCATTTCTACTGACACAAAATAAGTCGCAGTTTTTTGCTAAATGGAGTAGTCTAGATTTGAATATATGTCAATGTAACACAATTCCCAAATGGGTGAGAATTTGTGTCATTATTTGTTATTGTTTTATAAACACTTTATAATGCTGTAAATGGTTAAACAAAGTGGCAGAGAATATCTGCACAACCACCTGACATTGGAAGTAGATACAAGTAGGCTGGAGTATTTGAATTCAAAATTATCGCAACAATAGAAATAACTAAAAAGATTGAATGCTTGTCATTAAAGAGAAGTGCAAGGTAATGTACTCAGGGATAATCAGCTAAATAAAAATAAGATGTGGAAAAACTATTGGCTTCATAAATATGCAGGGAAAATGGATAATGGATCAGAGTTGATGCCAATTCCACAAACTCTTTAGTCACCATTAGACCAGGGAGAATTCTGTCTGATGCACATGCACAGAGAAGCAGAAAGGCATGGAGCATTCTGCAAAAATACAACTTGTTTGTTTTGAAAGAGTGCATGTATACAGCAGAACTTCTTCATAGTCCTTAATGTTTGTAAAGATCAGCTCATCTTAGCAACCAGTTCTAAAAATGGAGTGCAGGCTCCCACAAACCTCATCAGATCACATCCAGGAGGAAGTGATTTTGTTACTGCGCAGAGACTTCTACTGTATTCATTACAGCCAACAATATCAGAGCAGTGTACAGTAGCACAAGACAGCGACTTTCCCCATAACATTTCCATGGATAGGACAGTATAACTAGTAATGTATTCCCTAAGGAAATTAAAAAAAAAAAAACAAAAAAACAAAAAAACACAACTTTTGGCATTGTAGGGTTTTAACATTTCAAAAGCTCCCTCATATTTCTAGGATATTTTATCACTGAGAAATGTGAGTCGCTGCAAATGTTTTGGTTTTTTGGGGGTTTTTTTGGTTTTTTTTAAATTAGTCTGGACTTCTTTCGTTTCCTTCTCTTCATGCATATTTCTCAGTTTACAGTGTGACCATGTGACGTTCATATTGTGTCATGTACACAATATAAAAAAGGAGAATATTTACACATTCAATAAAAGGATAGTGACACATCTTGTGTCACTAAAGTGTGTCATTATCCAGCATTCAGAAACCAGGCAGAGGCACAGCGTGCTGTGTGTAGCAGGGACCTGAGTGTCACTTCTCAGCTCTTGCTGCCCACATCGCTGGGTCTGGCAATTACGGGAATTGGTCCGTGTCAGGAGAGCAAACATCAGCATTAATTATAACTGTGGGATCATTTGTAATGTTTCTTTATTCTTTTGTTAAGTTTCCTTTTGTGAGACGGTAGGGACTGGTATTTATTGTAGGCCTTTATTTCCATCTTTATTCTTCACTGCATTCTCAATCTTTCTCAGAAAGTCGGCAGGAAATATGGATTAGATACATTCCCAGACAGATAGTACAGAGGAGAGGGGAGACAGCAGGAAGCGGGAAAGATACCGAAAGTCAGATGAAAAGAGCTTCAAAGATTCTCTTCCCTCATAGCGGAAGTTTCTAAAGGATCAGAAGATGAAGCAAAACATGAAGGTTAACCTACGAATAACCACGCTGGCTATTGGAATTGGATATAAAGGATGTACTTTAGAAAAACCGACAGGTGCTTAAGTGGTCATAGCTGTGGCACGGCCTGAGGCGGGTGCGTGCACTGCAGCGGCTGAGTGAACGCGAACCTGACCTCCACACCCGACACCGCCAGCATTCCACGGGCACGGGCAGCGCGCCGGCACCGGGCCTTCCCTGCGGGAATCGCTCGGCACGGAAGTGACGCGCGGGCGGGAAGTGACGGCGGCGGCGGCGGCAGCGCGGGGCCGGGAGGGCCATGAACAGCCGCCTGCAGGAGATCCGCGAGCGGCAGAAGCTCCGCCGGCAGCTCCTGGCGCAGCAGGTACGGCCGGGGGCAGCCCAGCTACCGGGGCACCGCGGGGCCAGGGTCTGGGGCTGGGCTGGGCTGGGCCGGGCGCGCCGTGACTTTGTGTTCCCGCTGTGCAGCTGGGAGCCGAGAACGCGGACAGCATCGGCGCCGTGCTCAACAGCAAGGATGAGCAGCGGGAGATCGCGGAAACCAGGGAGACCTGCAGGTCGGTATCGGAGGGCGGTGGCTGTGCAAAACTGGGGGCTCGGTAGGAGAACAGGCCCGGCAAGTGCCATGGGATTGCACTCGGTGAGAGGAAGTTCAGTAATTAGCCAAATCAGAGCCGCGACTAAGACGAGTAGGGTGTAGTTGTTCCCTTCTAAGAGCAGATTGGAAATACAGGCTGACTTCTGTTTCTGGTGTGAAAAAGCTACTGTATAAGAAACGGAGATCTGAATTTAGAATGGGCCGTCTGCTTGGGTCCCAGAGCCTTCATGCTTTTCCTAAGCACAGTTCAGGGCAGTTCAGCTTGAAAGTTCTCGTGAAACTACGGATATGTCTAGGACAGAGCATCTACTGCTTATCCATTCTCTGTGTGTGAACAGGCTTAATTCTGTAGGCAAACTGCTTTGGGGTAAAGCAAGCTGTAACTTTTAGAACAGAAAAATGAGAAACGGAAGGGAGTGAGCTTAATTCTGTAGATATACTGCATTGGTTAAAATAAGCTGTACTTTTGAGAACAGAAAATTGAGAAAGGCAAGGGAATTAGTCTTTTAAAGAGTTCTATTTTTAATAAGTTGTGCTGAACTCAAATATACTGAGAGAGGAATAGCTTTCCATGTATGATGTTTTGAAATAGTTTCAAATTTGTAACGTGCAGACAAGGCATCTTATCAAAGATTCCTGAACACTTTTCTTTGGAGACAGAAACTTTCTTATGAGGATTTTTGGCTGTTCATAGGGCTGCTTATGATACTTCTGCACCAAATGCAAAACGTAAATATCCAGATGAGGGAGAAGCTGATGAGGAAGAGATTGAAGAATATAAGGTAAGAAAAAGAGGAAAAAGTTACTTTTCTCTGGTGTTGTGTCCCTGAGGTGCTTAGAAAATTTGTGTGCATATTAAAACAAATATGATGTGTATACATCCTTTAATATGTATATTCCACAGTGGCATCTCCCTTGATGCCTTCCACTGCTGAAGTGTGAGAGAGAGGACATAGATGCTGCGTGGTTCACCTCAGGTGTGACATGGGTGCACTGGACTGTACACTCAGCACACCTCAGTGTGTGGAGGCTTAGTGGGTGCTGTTCCTAGGAGGAGGCAGGCCTGGGAGGAAGTGCCCACAGGGAACAGCACTGAGCGGTGGCTGGCTGTGGGAGGAGGCAGTGAAATGTGTTTGTGCTGGGGGAAACAGAAAGAATCTCGACCAGAATTTCATTGTGTCAAAAGAAAAGTTGTGCAGCTAGCAGCAGGCACAGGCCATGGGATGAGACAACGGAGGCTGAGAGTGTCTTCTGGCCCATCTGTGCAGTGCCAAGGGATGCAGTTCTGGATGAGTGGAAGAAACAAGGGATCCTAAGGGAATTGGAAGTAAGAGTCTTGGTTCAGGATGTTCTTTTAAGTGTCCAAAATGTCCAGGAGGAGTTTGGCTAAAAAAACAAACCAAAATTCCTCCATGCCTCCATGGTCATTGAAGTGTCAAACTCTCATGCCCTTCACTTTTCAAATGCTCATCCCAAAGCTATGTGACAGCTTTCTCCTCATGTGATGTTTTGGCCAAGATAAGAGATAGAAAGAGCTTAAATAAAGGCATGATTATGATACAGCTGTCTTTATGATTTGGTTTGGGAATGTGGTTGCAGTGTATGTCCTCCTCCCTTTTTTCCATGTCCTAATAACCTTGTTTCTGTGGTAAAATCAAATCAATGTCAGTGTATTTATGAAATAGTTCGGTGTCTGCTATTCTCTTGGATAAAATAGTAATTTTTTAAAATACAAAGCCTTCATCATATTACATTTGTGTTCAGGTTTGTAAATCTTCCTGTAATAATGTCTACCTTTTATCTTACTAAACCAAAAAGTTAATGTATGACAGGATGTTTTTGATGGTTGATTTTGAATGTCTCTCTGTGAAGGGACAGACATTATTTTTAACATGATAAGTATATCCTGTTTAGTAAAGAAATGGTCACAATGAGTTAGAAGGCTGTGAACCAGTATTTTTATTCTTGTATTAGTAATCAGTTAATATCAATTAATTTTACTTCTTCGCCAAGTACATGGTGAAAGAACTAAATTTTAATTACCTATAAAATATATGTGGATAAGTTACTTGTTGGCAAAGTACATGAATCTTATCATTAAGATTTTCTTAATCATTGTGGAGAAGACTTACCCTGAGGTGGGCTGTAAGTGGCCAGACTTCTTTTATATTGTTGAAATGGAAGAATATTTTAATAAGAGTAGCTCAGATAAAAATTCAGTCGAGCAGATGAACAGACTTAAGAAACTTGAAACCCCAGAGTAGAACATCTATTGTGGAGTTATCAGCTGTTTCCTGCAGGCATTGGTAATTCCCTATTGGCAAGGAGATAAGAACAGTAAAATTCCATCTCTATTTTCCTGAGCTCTCTGAGCCTGCTTAAATTTAGTCTTGTAATAAGAACTCACACAAAAATTTGGATCCTTAGGTGTCAAGCCCTATTGTATTGTGTTTAATGCAACTTAGACAAAAGCAATGATAGATTAACTAGAAGTGTTGTGGACAAGTTTTGCAAGTTTGCCAGTTTTGTTCGGAAAATCAGAGGCATTTCTGATGTGAAGGGACTTGTGTCTATACCCCTGACTTGCAGGGTTGGGTTCTATGTGATGGGATCAGGTACGTCTTCTGAAATGGTTTAAAAGTTTTGTGCCCTGGCTTCAGATTTGGTGGAAATGAATGTACCCTCAAACCTGTGTGAGAGCAGTTTATGAGATAAAAGGTGAAGTATTTTACTTTTCTCAGCTGTGTAGGAACATCTGATGCAAGAAAAGGAAAAAAAAGCAATGCATTTTAATTTTGGTGGATTTTTTAAACTTTCTGTGTGTCTGGTTTTGGTTTTTCTGTAGAATAAGTGTGAATTTGTAGTGGTGATTCTTCATAAGGCTCAGGCTGATGTGAGAACAAAGGGCAGCAGTGACTCCAGTTGGGCAGCTTGTCTCTGGTGTTGGAGCCTGGCTCTGCCTGGCCAGCCTTGGGAGGTGGGTGCACTATAGGGAAGAGATGCACTATTGGAAAAATGAATAATGGATATTTTAAAGTCAGAAAGTTCAGCTGTGCTTTTGGAGAGCTCCTAAAATACTCCTTTCTTGTGGAATTGTAACAGTTGTCCCGGGTCAGTTGAGCTCCCTGGTCTGTATTTGGAAGTGAGATATAATGGGAGTAGAGTCTGCTGCCACTGTGAGGCTTTTCACCACGCTCTGGGAGCTGTGGGTGCTGTTCCACCTGTGGCCTTCCCCAGGTGATTTGACTCCATTGTTTGAGCCTGTATGAGTGTCTGGTGTGTGGAGTGCAAAACCACTTGTGGTTCTGTTTTGCTGTCTGCCAGCCTAATTTAAGACTGTCCTGTTCTGCTTTGTTGGTGCAAGCAGAGGCCTGTGGGCTTGGGATGCTTCCGTGCCATTGTTGTGGAGACTGAAGAAAGCTTGCTTGGTTGAATCATGGATTCCTTGTATCTCCAGTCATTTGAAACAAGCGATGTTTGGATATTGTGGAGTTTCTGTTTGCCTATAGCAGGTGCTTTGGAAAACACAGATAATTCATGTACAAGTATCTTGTGTTACTGCTGGTATCATTCTGTCTCTGCTGTGACTGTGTCCTTTCCCTTTGAAAGTTGGTGGTGTGGGCTTTTGTTTGTAGCCACAAGACTTTGTAAGTAGTTTTAAACTACTTACAAAGGCATAAAGTGAACTGGGATCACTCGGGTATCTAACTTATCAGCAAAAGGGCAAGATTTAGAGAACGATGAAAGAGGGAAACAGGTGTAATTTATGATGGCATAAGCAGTTTTTAGTAAAACTCAAGCTTTCAGCTTTTTTTTTTTTTTGCCTGAATAACACTTGCTGCTGCCTGTCTGTACATTTCTTTTCCTTGCAAACACTCCTGCTGTTTCTGATTGTAATCTTTTCTTTGATCTGGTTAAACAGACAAGCAAAAAGACTGTATATCTCTAAGTTCATCACCTGAATAGGAAAGGGGATGCTGTGACCTATTTACCACATCAGGCATTTCAGAAGTCAGTTGAAAGCTCCACTTCGGAAATAACAGAAGCTTACCTGAAGATTTCAACATTTAGAGGGATCAAAATTGGGAGGGACAACACTTAATTTTTTATTCTGCATTCAGACAGCTTATGTGACATGAAGTAAATGCAGCTGTAATAATAGGGCAGATGTTACCAATTTATTAGTTCTTCAGTTCTGCTTCTGTGTTCTATAAATCTATAATACTGGCTTGATCCAGGATCAGGGGGAAGGCAGAAAGTGATTTGAGGTGAGTCTCTCTTGAGTTTCTGTTCTCTCTGAGTTCTGTGTTGGATATTCAAAGTATGTCAGTGTAACAGATCTCTGAATCCCAGAAATCTGTTGAATGAACAGTTGGTGGCTCTCTAGATAGTTTTAATGTAAATTCTGGGGCTATAGAAGAGAAATGTTAAAGTTACATTTAAGAACAGTCCAGATGAAATACTGACTTGTACCATGAGCTGTTTCTTCAAAGTGTGGACTTTGCTAAGGCTGGGAAATAAGAGGTGACTGTGGATATAAATGCTCAGAAGTTCTGCTGCAGAAGAACCTCAATAAAACCTACACTTTCAGTCCAAGGAATAAAAGTTTTGTGGGACAAAAATGTAAAGTTCTACATCTTGTAAAGCACTGTCAGGGGCTGCAAGTGAAGGGGCTCTTACTTCTTCCTTCTTTCAGAGGCCTTTCCTAGTAATGCTGTCCTTGTTAGTGAGAGAGGTGCAGACTTTTTGGGGAACAGGTAATTTCTTTTTCCCACTCGAGCAGTGTAGCTGGATCTGCTGTTCGTAGACAGTCCACTTCTCCTTACGATCTGCTTCTTGAGGAAAGGACAGAAACAGCTTTATCTTGTGTGCACACTTGTAATACCTGCTTTATTTCCAAGGATGAAGTAGAGCTGCAGCAGGATGAAGAAAACCTGCCCTATGAAGAAGAGATTTACAAAGATTCCAGTACCTTTCTCAAGGTGAGCTGCTTTTGCAATTGGAAGTGTAGTCAAAGCTGGCCTAGTTTTCTTAAACTGTTTCTGCAGCTGATGGGATCTGAAATACAGCTTTAAAGGCTGAAGTAGTGGCTTGGAACTCACAGGTACAGAAGTTGCCTGTGACAGATCTGACTGTAACTGGTGTTTGCATTATTCTGAGGCACCTCACAATGGCCTGCAGGAATGGTGGGCCTGGTTTGGAAAAATGATGGTCTTGCTCAGTGGAAATTATAAAGGCATGTTGAAAAGATAATCTGCTCCTTTCTCATTTGTCAGATTAACACGTACAATGTGTCTGTGTATGTCCAGTTATCTCCTGTTGCTCTCACTTGTTCTTCCTATTCTTCAGGGCACTCAGAGCTTAAATCCACACAACGATTACTGCCAGCACTTTGTGGATACAGGACACAGACCCCAGAACTTCATCAGAGATGTTGGTATGTCATAGCCAGGCACTGTTTGAAGATGAGTCATTTGATTCAATAGCACTTCTTTTTCTTCCCCTTTTGTTACTCTTCGTAGGTTTTATTGTATCAGTGTGCATACATATCAGGGTAGGCATCTGCATGAATGGTTTTATTTTCAGTTACTTAGGAGGCCATAATTACCAAGGCTGTTCTTACCCTTGGTTTTACTTGAAACTATTTCACCAGGAAGATTTTTTTTTTTTTCAACCTAAGCTATTTTGATTCCAGAAAGTAGGTGAGTTTAATGAGGAGATCTTGAAACCTCTGGAAGTTTTCAGTTCAGCTGTGTACTGGGCTGTATTGCCTCTTAAGCATGTAAAGTATGGCAAATAATGACGCTTAAGTCAGGAAGCAATATGGATAATGTTTCTCAGCTAAATTAGGTAACTGCTGACAGCTCGTTAGTATGCCCAGGTGTAGAGGACGTTGCTTTTCAAGTTTACATATATCCAGCCATAAGTTACTACTGAAATGATGCTGCACTGGGCCTGAACTTAAACTTGCTAAAACTAAGGCACAGTTTGGTCCTGTTTCCCAGAATAGGCTTCTGGCATTTGGTTTTTAAAAGGAGCAGAACATCTCCCTCTGCAGTTTCATGCAACAGTTCTCTGTATTTTATCAAGTGTAAGATTGCCAAGGCAAGGGGGTTCTGTTTTTAAATGGCAGCCCAAAGCGGTTTGATTTGCCTCCAGAGGCTTTTAGTTTATTCTTCTCTATAGTTTGTGAATAGTTCTGTGAAATACATCTGGATGTTCTTCTAAAAAAATGGGCTGTTTTGATTCAATTACATTTTAATCTCAAAAGCCCTTGGCCTTCACAGTTAAGTATTTGAGGCAGTTCTGCACTCTTCTTGGAAATGAATATGGAGAAACAGCAGCCCTGTTGTGTGTCATGACTTCTCTGCTGTGTAACAGATGGGGAAGGGGCAGGACAAGCAGGCAGGTGTTGGTGTGCAGATGAACGCAGCAGTAGGGCCTGAGCTGTGTCGAGCTGTACCCTGCTGAGCACACATTTTCTACACCATGATCACAACTTTGCTGAGGTGCTGCGTGTTAGTGCACGTGGCCCAAAGAAGAGCAAGTGGTTCAAAGAGAACACCCCAGCTGTATCTTTTGGATGTTGCTGTTGGAAAAGAGGGAGAGACCTGGGGGTCTGCGTTGGGTTAGTCTGAGGGTTTTTGATTGAAAATTGTTTTGCATCTATTGCTGAGCTGCTGCTGCTCAGGGGTATTGGCCTCACAATGGCTGGAAGCAGCACAGTGGTGGAAATCAGGAGAACACAGCAGGAGCTTTAAGCTGTTACATATGTAAGGCAAAGGATGAAAATAACTTTTGGGTGTCTCATGCACGAGTGGCAAGAGATAATAAAGGTTAGGGACTGAGAACTTCACTTTTATCATGGCATTCCTAGGATTGGGACTTAAGAAGTTTGAATTAAAATAAGGAGAGATATGAAGGGTTTGTGGGTCTGGGTGAGGTTTTTCCCCCACAATTTGTTAGTACCATTCCAAGTTGTACTTTTAAATTAATATGAAGCTGAAGCCTTTTAAATAACTCCTACTTAAGCTGAGGTGATACTGCTTGGGAAGCAAGAATGGCACCCTGTTGGTTTATGCTGAACCTGCTGCTGGGAATAGCAAACCCATTGTCTGTAAGGGAGAATGAAATATAGTTCAAAGTATATTTTCCATTTTACAACATTTGCCTCAAAAGATCTAATGAGGGTTCTCTCCTTTGCATTCTGTGTACATGAAAGGTTGGAAAATTGACGTCATAAAGCTAAATGTAGGAACATGTCTTCAGATCTTCATGACTGCCACCACAGCACCAAATCTCAGTGTGAGGGTTGCCTCAGGGAACCAGCCACACCCCAGGTGCCATTTGGAAACAGTTGTCAAAGATTACACAGACTATGCTGTGAATTAATGTTAATTATATCTTAATAGAAATTTATGGATGGGGGAAAACCAAAATAACTTCTTTGATCATCCTGGCACTTTCAGTTTAAATGAGAGTTTGTTTCCTTCTGGTAACAGGAATAGTGAATTCCTGATCCACTGTAGTGTTCTAGAGAAGATCAGAGCACAGGCACTGCATCAGTAACAGCCCTGATTAGCTGGGTGAGGGCAGGAGGCTTTTGTCAAGTACTGGACGAAAAACTGCTTTAAAGGGTTTGCTCTGTTCTAACAAAAATTAAAATGAGGCTAAGTATTAACATTTGGATCTATTCAGAATACTGGACAATGCTTAATTGATAGAGATTTACTCTGTTAAGTAGTTGTTAACTTCATGTTTTCTTCTTCTTAGGCTTAGCAGATAGGTTTGAAGAATATCCAAAACTTAGAGAGCTCATCAGATTGAAGGATGAGCTGATATCTAAATCTAACACTCCTCCCATGTAAGTGTTCTTGTGGAAAATACCTTTCTTCTCCAGACCTGTTTGAAGTTAGCTGTCTGCTTTGCAAATCTCTATCTTCAGCTTAGAATTTACATTTCTCTTTCTGTTTGTGTATACAAATGAATCAATTGAGGCATAGAAGAATAAGATCACTCTGGTGTTGTTCATTTAATCTAGATGTTTAATACGATGTATAAACCAGATTTTATTTCCAGTGTGTGATTAGTTATCATTTCTAAAGCTTTGATTTTTTTAAGACCAAATTGTCAACTGGCTGCAGGCTTTAATTTGGGAACTAAGAGAATATCATGTGGTGATGAATCTTACGTTATCATTGGTTTAAAGCTCTTCTTGTTATCATGTGGTTTATGATAACAAGAAGAGCTTTAAAAAAATTGCCTCTTAATATAACCTTAGCTTTTCTTGTAGCGGCTGGTTTTTGTATAGTGTTCAGCTATTATCTGAGTCCATCAATCACATGTTATTTTGGAGTTGAAGACAAAAATGTTTAGGCTGACTGAAAGTCATTTGTGCTTGTTTTTGCTGAATGTCAGACACAGCCTCAGAGTGCAGTGTGTTACTTCAGGGATTCAGACCTCTCTGAACTCAACCTTATGCTTGTCATGTGCAGTAGTCTTGATCTGTACCACAAAAATCCACCTTATTTAATGATAGTCACATAAAACCCTCTTAAATAGCTGTCTGAACAACTGAGTGCAAACTGCAAATTCAGCCTGCTCTTCTAAGCTATGCATGTGTTTTGGTCATAAAGTACAAAAGGGGGAAAACCAGTAATCAAATGCTGCCTTCTGACAACACCAAGTACACATGGAGTCTTTTCCACACACTTTTAGGGAAGGGGAAAGTGATGGTCTATTGATCACCTTTACAAAAGTTAAAGGAATTTAGGGGAGGGCAATGTCATTTTTTGGTAGTGATAGAGCAGTGAGTGGTGTGCAGGCGTGAGGGAGAGTCATGAGTGTGTGAGCATGTATGTACTTCATAGAATCAATGGTGGGGGGGGAATTTTGCTTGGTGCAGGAATACAGAAATACATGTATACTATAAAAGGTAACCATGTTTCCAGTATTTAGAATCTTTGGAATAATTCTGAAAATATGCCACTTTTCCAGTTAGCCAGGCAGTGAGTGTTTGTTTCTTAAATGTTTATGTTTCCTCCTATTATAGACCGCAGGTGTACAGAAAGTGCAGTGAGTCTGCACTAGGTATTGTTGTACATGGGCATGTGTTTCCTGCTTGCTAAGTTAGAAACCTAAAAACTGTTTATTAAGACTACTTAAAAACCACAAGACAATAGCATCCAGCCTCGATTAAGTGCGGATGTGTAATGGATCTCCTCTGGATTTAGAGCATTTGAGATGTACAACCCACCCAGGAGACCCTGCTCTTAACTGGCTGCACAGAAGTGCTGTGTGGAGAGTGGTTCTCAGGCCACTGTTGCACCTTGTCTGATGCAGTCTGGCATCTTCTTTCTAAACAGGTATTTGCAAGCAGACTTGGAAGCCTTTGATATTAGGGAACTGAAGTCCAAATTTGATGTGATTCTCCTGGAGCCACCATTGGAAGAATATTACCGAGAGACTGGCATTACTGCCAATGAAAAATGCTGGACCTGGGATGACGTAAGTACCTGCTTTGCTGGGAAGAACATTTCATACATTTGTTTAAGCAAGTCATTTCAGGGTTTAATTTAGTAAACACAACTTTTTGTTCTCTCTGAGCCTGGCTGAAAATGTGAACCTAGTAATAGTGGGTTTTCTCTCTGCCCTTACCTTCACTGGGCTTTCTCTTTGATTTTTGACTGTTGAAATACTGAATGTCCATTGAAAAGATTCCCTTATTTCTTGAAATTCCTGAGGTTATTAAGGCATGCTTTTTAATATGCTGGTCTTCTGGTAAAAAGTGCAGGTTAGTTTGCTTTACTGACATTCCTCCATTCTTCAACTATTGACTGGGTAGGAAATTTTGATGGTCAAGCCAGTAATAATCCCTAGAAACTTAACGAAATAGATAAACCTCTCTTGCGGAAGTCTTTCTCTTGTATTTATTCAAAAATGGTGCCTAGCAGTGCTGCCCAGGGAAAAAAAACCCATTCCATCCTAACAGAAAAACTGGAGTGTGGGAGGCAGGACTCATCTTCATAGTGTAGAGTTACATCCTCCTAGAATGGCTCCTACTGCGTTATTTTTCCTCGGAATAGCATTGAATGAAGCTTGATTAGATGTGTTAGCAAGTTAGAGATGAATCCTTTCAACTTGTGATGACTAACAGATGCTTTGCATCCGAAGTTATTTCATCTTGAATGTTACTCATCTGCCATTGTTGAACCACTGTTCTCATAAATTCTGGCTGCTTTTCCTGAAAGTGAAAATGGAGAGAATGTCTATTCCTATTTAGTGCTAGGAATTAAGCTGAGATTTTTGGAACATTTTCACAACCTTCATGTAAGTACTTACAGAGAGGAAAAGAAACAGAGTACTGTTGCTTCTGTATTAAATATTTTTGCTGCCAGTGGAATGATAAAACAAAGCAGAGATTTGAGGAGGAGACCATGTGGGTTGTGTTGGTCTTTTAAGTCTAGAATTTCTTATACAGGTAGAGTTTCTGTTTGTGATTGTTTCAGCCCAGCCCCAGGCAGCCACTCGCTCACTCCTGCACCAGTGGGACCAGGGAGAGAATTGGAAGGGTAAAAGCTGGAAAACTCAAACGTTGAGACAAAGACAGTTTAATGGGGAAAGCAAAAGCCATGCACACAAGCCAAGCAAAACAAGGAATTAGTTCCTGCTTCCCTTGGGTGGCCCCCAGCTGTGCTTCTTGATGGTTTCTGTGACAATGCCTCAAGACTTAGTATTCTTCCTGATGCAACTGGTGATTTGTATTTAATTCAGAAATGCTTTTATTGCACTAGATCATGAAACTGGAAATTGAAGAAATTGCAGCCCCAAGGTCATTTGTGTTTCTGTGGTGCGGCTCGGGTGAGGGTCTGGATCTCGGCCGAGTGGTAAGATGTTGTTTTAATTCAATTTATCAGGGACAGGCTTAAGAGTTTATTTTTATCTTTGACTTTTCCCTGTATAGAATTGTCAGCCGTAACTGCTGAGGGATGTTTTGTTACTGTGTTAGAGGATATGTGATTTCAAATGGCATTAACTGTTAAGATACTGTAAATGTCCAGCTGAGCCATTGACTGTGTGAGGAAGCATAATTCATTGGGGTCGTGGTTTGGATGTGTTGACAGAGGAGCAGGTTGCCAAGTTACAATTTTTTAACAGAAGTCTCAGTAGTTTTCTGCCATAAATGTTCATGCTAAGAGAAAGGTCCTACTGTTTCATAAATTGAGATCTAATTGTCATTTTTCTGCATGCCAGGGAAACACTACTTGTGTTGGGGATGCTGCACTAAGAATTCCCAACTGGCTCTTGCAGTGCTGAAACATTCTTTATTTAGTTCAAGCAGTGCTTTCCATGAAAACAATTCACAGACAGCTCTTTAAGGGCAGCCTGTGATTACTGATCTCTTTGCTTTGGCTGTTTTTCAGTCTGAAGTTGGCCAGATAGACTGGGTTTGGTCATAGACAGGTTTGTGTAGCTGGACAGTCTTTGAATAAGAAAAGTCAAGGGCCTGAGTGAGTGTTCAGTTCGGGTCACTTGATGTTTTTGTGCAGTGTGAACCTTTTTGTTTATCACATTTAGTGCCTGCGCAAATGGGGTTACAGAAGATGTGAGGACATTTGCTGGATTAAAACAAATAAGAACAACCCTGGCAAGACCAAGACTCTAGACCCCAAGGCTGTCTTCCAAAGAACCAAGGTAAAGGATTGGCTCCATTCTTCCTCTGTTTCCATTCTCTCTCTCTGTGCTGATGACACAGCCAGTGTTGGTGACAGGCTTGTGAGAAAGCCAGCAGGAGGACTTCCAAGTTCTGCTCTGCAAAGTACATTTTATGGAACTAAACTTAGCAATAGAGTTTGACAAAAGTCAATGTCAAAAGAAGTCTTCTAAATCTGTAGATTTTAGCTGAATCTATTAAAAAATAACTATAGAAGATCGGCTATTGGTTCTAAATGCACACAAGGTGTGCGCCCAGAGCTTGGACCAGAGACAAGTCTGGGGGAACCAGAGCACCTCCTGCCTTCCTGGAGCTGATTGTGTAGCACAGGTGACAGAATGGGTCAGCTTGCTTTAAACCAAACTTCTTTTTATGATGCTTTGTGGAGGATGTGTATTGAAGGAGGTGCAGAGAAAAAAAAGTGTTCTGGTTTGTGACTCAAATGTCTGTTGATCAGAAACTTAGAGAAATGTAAATGCGACTCATAAATAATTAGTTTGGGTATATGTGAGTGTAACTGGAAGTTGGACTGAGTACAGACAGCTGATTGACCATTTATTCATTTCATGTTTTCAGTGAACCTCAGGATTCCTTCCTCATTCATTCATCATTATTAGCATTAAACATCCTCAAGTCTGTCTCAAATTGGCCATTGTTAGGAGTATAAACTTTCCTTTAGGATATCTGGAATCTTTCTCTGACTTGCGTTTACATTAATCTGAAGTTTGTTTGAAAGTGTGTTGTATTAGTTATAAATATTTATAACTATTGTGTGTTTGTTGTGTGTTTTAGTTTAAGGCTAAAACTAACACAGGAGGATTTGAGGGGACTATATGTCTTTGTTTAGCACAGAAAAATAGTTTCTGGTATGGGGGAAATCCTTTGTTTATCGAGCGAGAGTTGAGCTGAGGTCACTGTTTGTGATAAACACTGAAAATTGAGTGAGTTTGCCCTGACTAAACAAACACTGTTGCAAGCTGTGTTTGCCAGTGCTTAGAGCAGCATGTGCTGTGTTCTGTTTGACTGAAGCATCTCCATGGATGCTGGGTGTTGTGCCACCTGTCAGAAAATCCCAGGATTTGTGAGTGACATACTGTGTGCTATAGAAGAAAAAGGTTGGTGATAGTTCTCCTGAGGACTAGACTGAGGAGGCTTGGCTTGGTGGGTGCTTTGCTTTGCAGTATTCTGCCTTTCACTTCGCTACATTCTAGGTCCAAACCCGTCTTGCATGAGTGCAATACCATCTGCATAGATTTGACAGGTCTGATGTTGTGCCTTTCATGTTTACCCACTAGCTCTACAAACCCTTTCCAAAATTCAGGAATGATTACGTGTTCTTGTCTGTGACTGTTTCCTGAGCCATCTGGTGGTGCATAGTGAGTCAGAGCATTTGATCCTGTGGAACATCGCTCATCCAAGATTGATATTCCCAGAAACAGAGCTCTGAAATGAGTCTGTAGGAGCCTCTTTTCATCCTGGAACAATCGTCATTCATGGGTGCCACATATCACTCACTTAAATTGGTCTGCAGTGTTGTAGAAGGAAGGAAAACAATGCATGTTACAGCTCAAAAACACTTCTAATGCTGATGAGCTGCCTGAGAGTGTGATACTGGTTGTGGGGTTTATGCAGAAATACCTTCTGGAAAGGAATCTGAGGGGAATTCTGAGGGTCACTTTATTAACAGAGGTACAGGATGAAAAAGTACATATTACTCATATTACTTCCACTGTCTGTTTCAAGACTGAAAACTTTTAAAGTTGTTATATGAATAAAGTTAGGATCAGATTGCTAAGACAGGTATTAATCATAATTAATAACCATTCCTTGCTCTTGCCATCACGTTTTTCTCTTTTGCCTTGTGGAGACTTCTCAGCCTTTCCTGCCTGAAGTTCTGTAACTGAAGAAGTTCACGTAGCTGACTTCAGCCTTGAATTAAGTTTTACCACCTCATAGTGCAGTTTATCAAGCTTCAGCTTGAAGTACTGCTCTGGTATGTTCTCAGCTGGCTCCTTTGGTGGCTCCAGCTTTTCTGCTCTAGTTCTTGTTTCAGACTTTTCTCTCCTGTAAGGGTGGAATGTGCTTAGAACTGTCCTTGCTGTCCCTTGTGCTCACCTGGCACAGCAGGACATGTGACATGTGAGAGCTCTGTGTGTCTGCAGGAGCACTGCCTCATGGGCATCAAGGGCACCGTGCGCCGCAGCACCGATGGAGACTTCATCCACGCCAACGTTGACATCGACCTCATCATCACCGAGGAGCCTGAAATCGGCAACATAGAGAAACCTGTGGAGATTTTTCACATCATTGAGCATTTCTGCCTCGGGCGACGGCGACTTCACCTCTTTGGGAGAGACAGCACAATTCGACCAGGTAACTGCTATGTTGTTTTTGGTCAAACAGTAAAATTCATTTCAGGGTCCCAAAGAGGTTTCCAGATGTATGTCACAGGTCAGATAGCAGATCTGAAGGGAATAGTTTTTTGTGTGTGTGAAGAACTGTCAGTCACAGAACTGTTGTTTATAAAGTTTATGAGAACTCTCATTTCTGTAATTTTTCCAGAAGAGAGGTTTTTGTTAACCAATATTTTTGCCTATCCATGTGTTTAATTCATCAGTGAGCATAACAAAATCCAGTTGAGATTCCTTTTCTCCCATATGTTTACGCTTCTCAGAAAAGTGATTTCTTTCTCCAACTGGTTTTCAACCCCTGTGAGCTTAGTGCGCTTGCCTGTGTCTGAAGTCGCAGTATCTTACAGTGGGTGCTGCATCTGGCATGATGCAAAATGCAAGAAATACATGGATCAGGACACATTGTTCAGGTATTCCTTCAGTGCAGCTACCAGGGGATTCTGTCTGTCAGCGTCTCACAGTCAGGTACTTGAGTATTTTTTAAAAACACTGTTGTGGTGTAAGGACAGTAAGAAGAAGGGGTAGGGGTTTGTGAAAGCACAGTGTGGATGTTGCCACAGCCGTGTGTAATAAAAAAATTTAAAAAAAGGAAAACAAGCCCTTAGAAATACACAACTGAAATCTCAACTGTGCAGCAGCTCTAGATGTGACTTTGATTCTGTTCAGTGCTGCTGATGTGTAGGTGAGTGTTTCTCCCTGTGACTTGATTGTTCATTTCCTGGGAGAAATTTCACTGTGGCCTTGAAGCCTGAAGTTTGTGGTTGCTTCTGCTGACTGTGTTTTTGTTCCCCAGGTTGGCTGACGGTGGGACCTACCCTCACAAACAGCAACTTCAACGCGGAAACGTATTCCTCGTATTTCACGGCTCCCAATTCCCACCTGACCGGCTGCACCGAGGAGATCGAGAGGCTGCGGCCCAAGTCCCCGCCCCCCAAGTCCAAGTCCGACCGGGGTGGGGGTGCTCCTAGGGGAGGAGGAAGAGGAGGGACTTCGGCAGGACGGGGAGAAAGGGGCAGGGAGAGGAACAGAACCAACTTCCGCGGTGAGCGGGGCGGATTCAGAGGGGGCCGTGGAGGGACCCATCGAGGGGGCTTCCCCACCCGCTGAAGAGGTGATGGCTGCTTCCTCTGCCTTGTCTGGGAATCTTTCCCGTAGTCTTGTTTTTCCTACAGTGAATTCCTCTGGGGACTCAAGCTAGATGACTTTTACAATTGTTTTTGGTGCATGCCATTCCAAACAGTCGGCCTTGCAGTCTGGCACAGCCCCTCACCTGGCCATGTCCTGCACGGGCAGCACTGAGCTCAGAGCAGAGAGCACCAGCCCTTCACACCACGGCTAGGATGGAAATGACCCCTTGCTCTCCTCTTAGGAACCCTGCAAGGTGGAGACTTCTTTTGCAACTTCATTTTCTCCAAAACATGGATTCCGTCTCCATTGTTGGAGGTTTGGGTTTGGACTGATTTGCATTAATACGATGGAGCGGGCATGAAATGCAGCTCTGAATTGCATGGCCACAGCAGACTTGCTGTCCTATGGAAGAAAAAGTGCTGTGTCTGTATTGACACCTATTTTAACTTCTCTGAAACCAAGGTTTTTGTTAACCTTGTTAACCTGAAACCAAGGAGCAAATCAAATAAATAGAATTCTATTTTTCCTTATTTGGTTTAAACTTTAAAAATTATTCCTGGGAATAGGAAAAGGTTAATTTTTAATTTGTGGTGTATATGCACTCACCTGCTGTGTCAGTAGTGGGGAGAGTGGTAATTCTGTGCAGCTGTGTGTTCGTGGACAGCACCCAGTTGTGCATTTATGTGCAGCCCAGAAGTTGTGCACAGGTCTGGGCTGCTCCTTGGGTGTGTGTCTGTAACACCTTGTTCCTTGGGAGGGAAGAGCAGTGTCACTCAGAGCAGTCCCAGAGACCCTGCTGGAGGGAGGATTGCACCCGGGAGCTGGTTTGAGTGTGTGATCCCTGAAACAGGGAACACAGAACAGAGTGCTGCCTTTGCCTGCGGGTGTTGCACACATCTGAGAATGGCTGTTGCTGATGCAGTGCAGTGTGAATAGAAAGTGACCCCCTTCCCTACGTACCATGTCCGTTTTTAGCAAAACCACAGCTCTGAGCTTCTTGTGCAGTTCTTGGTAGGCTGAACAAACGTGGCTTTTGATGTCTCAAGGTCTTAGGTGTGGGGTTTGGAAAACTGGCGTTTAAGTCTGAATGTTTCTCCTGAAGCCCAGCTTTTAAATAACTGTCCTGTAAAGTAGTGGATTATTAAACATGTTTGTCAAAGCTGATGTTTAAATATCTTCCTTAATATTTTGTGTGTGTGTTTTGAGGTGTTGGAATTGCTAAGTGGTTTCCTCTGTGCTGTTGTAGACAGGAACTGTTCTTTTGATTTTGAAGATTTTGATGGGCTGGGGAACTCCCTGGCTTTGGTCATGTTCAGCATGGGATTGCCATAGTGCCAATGGAAACTGCCTGTTGTTTACAGCTTGTTTCTTCCTCTGTCATATGTGCACATCTGCAGAGTGACTGGATTTGGGAAGGGGAGTTTTGAAGTTGGTGTTTATCTGGTCATTGGTGAAGTCTGCTACAGCTGAGAGAAGGTAAATGCCCTAGCAGGGATTTTGGCCCTAATTATGTTGTTATTCGAAAAGTAAAGACACTTAGGACCACTGCTTTTGTAGCAGGGAAAAATACTTTCTTGTTTTTCAATGAGTAGAAAACGTTAATTTCTGTTTGCCCCTTTGAATTACATGCCCAATACTGATAGTTCAGTGAGTGAGCTGCTCTTAGCATACACTTAGGCTAAAGGGAACAACAGGAGGGCCAAAAACTAGTGAATCTGAAGTGCTTCTGTTTTAGTTTGTGGTGCTGCTCAAGACTTCACTGACTGAGGAGGGTAGTGGCAGGTGATGGAGGTTTCTTGGTCCTTCCCATCAAAGCAGAAATAGCTCAATAACTGTAAGGAAAAAAATGAATAGTGCTGCAGCAAGTGTTAGATTAGAGCTGTCTGGATGGGCCACCTTTGCCAGCAAAGTCTGATGTCCATGTTGTTAATGAGCAGCTGATGGAATGTTTTAATTGAGGTTAATGGACAAGGAACTTGGCCCTGCACTTGTCCTCCATAAAGAACAACACTGCCCCTGCTCATCTGAAGGTGGAATTTCAGCAGTGACAGACTGACAAAGGCTGTACAGGTAAGGCAGTAGGGCTGCACACTCCCAAATCCTGGTCCCTGTCCCTCTGGGGATGGGCATGAGACTTAGGAAGTACTGGAGTGAGACACAGTCCCACACACCTCGTTACACAGGAAGAAGATTGGGTCATTTTCTCAGTCACTGGGATTTGGACCATACAGAAATGGTATGCTGATGAAAAGCTTTTAATCCCATTAGTAGTTGTCAGTAATTTCTCACTTGTAACACTTCCAGAGCAAGGGAAGGATAAGGCTCAGAATCACTGAGCTGATGAGGATTTCATTTGCCACAGGTAAATGAAGACTTGAGCATGCTCTCCTGGAAGATAAAAAGCCTGATGAGTTTCTTCCTTTCCACTTGCATTAAATGCATAATGTCTCCAGTCTGATTTGCGCTGCCTGTCTAGACCTTGGCATGTCTTTCCATCCTGGAGCAGGCTTAGAGCCCTTGGATGTTTTACACCCTGTGAATTCAGTGGAGGACTCAACACCTGCACTGACAAGGTACTCAGGATGTGTCAGCATTTGGCTTCACAGGGAATTTAAGACCCTGGTCAGGTGTAGATCATGGTGTGTAAATCAGCCATCAGCTGGAGAATTCCATGCACTCTCTGGCAGTGGTGCTTGCAAGGAGCTGGCTGCAGTGCTGCTGTGCTGTGCAGGCTGGCAGTCAATGCTCTCAGGGGGTTGAGGCTCTTCCCCAGCAGCAGTTTGTTGTGTGTGTTCTTAGCTGCTGAATGCTTTGCTCAGAGGAGTGGAATTCAGGTTCCAAACCTGAATGAGCAGTTTTGAGATGATCATGGAAGTTAACTGGCAGTATGTAGTGGAATTAATTTTAGAATATTCAGCTAGTTTTGCTGTTAAGGAGCAACTGACCACATGCCCCATTACACTGTAAAAAGATAGGTCATTTTCTCAGTCACTGGGATTTGGACCATACAGAAATGGTGACTAGTGATGAAAAGCTTTTAATCCCATTAGTAGTTGTCAGTAATTTCTCACTTGTAACACTTCCAGAGCAAGGGAAGGATAAGGCTCAGAATCACTGAGCTGATGAGGATTTCATTTGCCACAGGTAAATGAAGACTTAACTTGAGCACGCTCTCCTGGAAGATAAAAAGCCTGATGAGTTTCTTCCTTTCCACTTGCATTAAATGCATAATGTCTCCAGTCTGATTTGCGCTGCCTGTCTAGACCTTGGCATGTCTTTCCATCCTGGAGCAGGCTTAGAGCCCTTGGATGTTTTACACCCTGTGAATTCAGTGGAGGACTCAACACCTGCACTGACAAGGTACTCAGGATGTGTCAGCATTTGGCTTCACAGGGAATTTAAGACCCTGGTCAGGTGTAGATCATGGTGTGTAAATCAGCCATCAGCTGGAGAATTCCATGCACTCTCTGGCAGTGGTGCTTGCAAGGAGCTGGCTGCAGTGCTGCTGTGCTGTGCAGGCTGGCTCTCAAGCAGTTTTGAAAACAAAAAGCTGCTGTCAGGAAGAGCCACCTTCTCTGGGCACAGAAGGTAGATGACTCCTTCTGCAGTCAGGGCAGCCTGGCAGTGCTGCTGGCAGCTGTAGCACCAGCAGAGCTGTGGCTCACAGGGACATCTATCAGACATTACAGAACAAGTTGTTAACATTATAACAGTCCCTAGAGGGGGCAGTGAGGTTTAGCAATAGAGAACTGCTCTTGAATAGAGAGGTCATAAGGAATCCCACAGCATTAGCTATATAATAATGTCATTTAAGTACAAAATGAAGGCACAAGTCAGGGTCCAGCAGCAACACCTTTTGATACAACTTCCTTGCAGTCCATGCTGTATAAAAGTAAATTAATAAAGATCAATGCCCTGTTAAGAGAAATGCAGTGTAACAGCAGTCCCCTCTTTGCTCAGAGCAGAAAATACCTTTTCCTTATCTGTATTGAGCAGCTTTTTGTCATCTCTGTTTTTTCAGCTTCCCCGGTGCTTCCACAGTTGGCAGAATGGAAGAATTTAAAGGAAACGGAAAAATTCAGTTCAGGCACACTGGCATTCCATTTTTATAAATGGGTGACAATTCTACCCCTGTAGCAGGTTCCACATTGAAATCTACACTGCCAAGATGCAGACACAAATTGGAAATCACCACGTTCACAAAATCTTCCACCTTTCAAAAGAAGCTGTGGCATTCTGGCAAAACAGAAGTCTCTCTGCTATGGCAGAAACACACCGAGTCGCCGCAGGCGCCATTTGCTCCCTCAGTGCGCGATGGGGCCGGCGGGGCCCGGGTGAGGTCTCCCCCTCTTATCCCTCTTTTCTCGCCCTCCTAACCCTCACCCCGCTCCCTGTCCGCTCCTCAACACCGCTGCCGTCCTGTCCTGCACATCCTGACCTCCCACTCTACCCCTTCTTTCCTCCCCCGCCTTAGCCGGCTCCCTCTCCCCTCCTGAATCTCTCCTTCCCTCCCTTCACTGCTTCTCCCGTCCTCTCCCCGCACACCCCGACCCTCCACTCTACCCCTCCTTCCTCCTGCTCCTTACCCCGGTCCCTCTCCCCTCCTGAATCCCCCTTCCCTCCTGTCCCGTCCTACGCACCCCGACCGCCCCCATTCCCCCTGTGCCTTTCCCAGTGGGGGAAAGAATGAGAAAAGTGAGTGTGCTGCTCAGCAGTGACAAAGTCACTGAATTATCAGCACAGATCTAACCCACAACCCTGTGCCAGCTGCTGTGAACAAAGTGAACTCTCTCCAGCCAAAACCAGCACGCCTATCAAAAGCATCTGTACTCACAATAGCAGATTTGGTGTGTCCAGACCAAGTATTTTGATTTCATCTTGACTTACAGAAAAATACGGCCCAAGAAATCTTTCACCTCACAAATATCCTTTCCCTCACCTCCCTACAAAGGGAAATGTATTAGATGTGAATTTAGCTATAAATATTTTATTAGTTAAGATTTTAGTTCCTACTACAGCTCTTGCTCTAATGCTAACTTGAGCATAATCCTTCAGCTTCAATAGATTTTTAAAACACAGGAAGTCTTCTGAACACAAGGTTTACTACAAGAAGTGACTTTTGGATTATCTGTACACTTATCAAATTCTCATCAAAATTCAAATTGCCTGATGAAATATGTGTTCCTGCCCCTGAAATGTCCACATGGAGTGGTGAGGGGGAAATATCACTGCACCACACTTAGTGCAGATACCTGAAACACACTGGAACCATGACATACAAAGAACAAGAAAAAACGTGGTCAAATCCCAGAAGTTACTGCAAGCATCAGAAATCTGGCTAGATTTTCATCATCTCTCGATGAAGGATGTGCACACATCCCAGCAGAGTTTTCCATCTCCAGGTGAACACGGGCCAGCTGCCTCAATACCTCTCCGAGCTTCTTTTTGGCCTTCAGACCAGGAACACAGTGTCAAAAATGCCACATACCTGACAAATCCCCAGGGTGATGCAGGGTGCTGTTAATGTTTCTGTGTGTTCAGCTCACAGGCCACAAAGCACACCCCGGCTGGGCTTCACAGTTTCTCTCCAAAAGCCAATCAGCCCTTCCTCATAAACAAAACAAACAAAAAAACTGAAACATGCCACAATCTTTGTCTTTCTCACAAATTCCTTGGTTTCTCACTTTTAGCCACAATTTCTCCTCCTCATTTTCCAGCTTACGTAGCCTGGATCCAAATCCTCTTCCAGAAAACATGAAAAAAGCAGTAACAGCTATTTCAGAATAAACATTGACTGTCACATCTCTTCAAAGCCTTTTCTGAGTTTCTGCCCCACCCTGCACCATGCCACCTACACCTGCAGAACTCCTTGCAGACCTTCCAAGCTGTGATCCTTTTCTAGCCTCTCTAGCCAGTATCCCATTCCACTGCTGCAGTGCCACCGCCCAAAGGGCAATGACAGCGTCTCTGGTGACACTCCAGACACATCCCACCATTTCTGTGTAATTCCTTGTCATTCCTGTCAGTCCCTTCCAATATTTAAGTAGGTGAAAAATAAGTTACCTATACTTTAGTAACTTGAGCTTATTTACATACTTATTTTCTCTCACAATAAATATATTTTCTAAAATACTCTAACACTGGTATAATTTCATGTGGAATTTTCTTGTCATTCCCTTCAGGCAGCAGGGGGAATGTCACTGAGTGCAGCAAAGCCAGCCCCAGTTGTTTTGTGCTTTCCCAGGAATCAAATAATCTGTCTTGATTTGTTTTCTGGACCCAAGCAGGTTTTGGTGGGATGGCATCAATTCTGCTTAAACAGCGAGCAAACACAGCTCAGAAATTAAAGGATCTCAAATTATGCACAAATAACTGTAGGAGTGTCACTGCAAAAGGAGCTCAATAATGAATTAAAACAACATTACCATTCCCAGTTCCTTACATGTGGTATCCACAAACACATTACAAATTGGCATTACAAAATCCTGACCACCAGCAGGAACTCAGGATTCCCAGTGAGTTTTTCTGCCCAGTAATATTAAAACCAGAAACTCTTAGAAACAAATAAGTGGGAGTTAAGTGTTGGTAACACAGACATTGCTCACGACTTGGTTTGAAACACACCCAGACAAGTGTCAGCAAAGTCAAAAGCCATCAGAATTTCAGCTTCAGTCTGCAACAGAAGCAGCAAGGGCCCTGCCTTTCATCTCCCTACAATTTCACAGTTCCAGCACTTGCCAAGTATTTTACTTGGGATGCACCTAAACAATCTGAATCCTCAAATAACACCATTACCCGGGCAATGAAATGGAATATCTGTAGATGGTTTAGGATCTCCAGAGAGTACAGGGCAGGGGGAGGGAGGGTGAAGCCTTGTGAATGGAAATACCAAGTGAAATTGGAATTGAGGCATTTTGGGAACATTGCTGAGCTGAATGGCAGTTCAAAGAACCCTCACTAAGTGACAGATAAAAGCCCCAAAACAAGCTTTATTTCAGGCTTGGCTGCACAGAGAAGTGTGTGCTAATAAACTGAATAATCAAAAATAAATTGTTTCCATGTTCATTTCTTCAGAATGAATACCTGGAACCACGGCTTCACCACATTCATTACAGCTGTGCTCTGACGTTGCACAGGACAAGTTTTGAGGAGCTGCATTCTCTGCGGAGAGCTGGGCTACAGGGAAAGGTTTTCTCTCCCAGAACAGCAGCCATCCACAGTGATGGGTTTTAATTAGGGACAACTTCATGTACAGTGCTCACTCTTTAGGCTGCAGGGGAAGAATTCTGACAGGACACTGAGGAATCCAGGCACATAATGCCATTAGCTGAAATACTGAAGGACATTGCTGAATTCCCTTATAATGAATTAAAATTTATTGACCTTGACCTTTGTTGACCAAGGACAGTTATAAGCACCTTTTTGTTAGAATTTCATAGAATATTAAACAAGAGAATATTAACATTAAAATGTTTCCATTTTTTTAAAACTAGTGCAAATAAAAATAAACATGCCAAGATTTTACAATAGTTTTACCAGAAAGGAAAAATGTGAGTTCCTTTCC